ATTCGATGTCTCATAATGCTACTTAACTCCGCCCCCGAGTTGCAAATGTTGCAATTGCCGCACTCCAGACTGTTATTATAAGATTCTTCCCTCCCTCGCGTACGCTAAGGTGAATAAATCTATTAGAAAGTTCTCAAAATCTCTGACCCGAGCAACATTATTTTTTTCTTCACTCGCCATTTGTTAGCACTACTGTGCGTGTAATAGAAAATATTTGTTTCTTCTTTGACGTCCGTTACTACGTGCGAATTCGTAACGCAAATAAGTCATACGAAACGCAAACGGAGCAACAGGCACCTGCCTATCGAGTCGTTCGAAATTGCGAGCCACGCTTGTTTTCTGCGTTAATATTCGCGGTCTCGTGGACGGCGGCGTTGGTTGGGAACAGCAGGAATGGCGACCGAGGCCGGAACGATCGAAACACGAGCCCCGGCGCGTAATCCAGTTAGCGAAGTCGGTCGACGCACGCAGAAAACGCTCTGTTTCTCATGGCAGCTGCTGGCAATAATTGCCAGCGTTAACTTTGTTCCATTTCCCGGCACCGGGAGGCGTCAAAAGGCGTCCCGAGACTCGATCACTCCCGATCGATCGCGCGAGAAACGTTTTCCTTAGCAACGTCCGTTGGCTCCACTTTGAAAATTGAAGTGCTTTCTGGAAAAACGGCAGGCGGAACCTATTCAACCAAACTTCAAAGCGTTTTTGTCCACCGTTGCTGGCTTGCGAGAAATTTCTAAAGGTCTATACACTGTCGTATTGCAATCTCGAAGACGAGACCAATCTTCTTACGTTCATACATTATAAAATTTATATTCAACTATTTTTATTCAAGTACATCGATTATATTACACATTCTAATTAGGTGTCGATTCGTGTAGGAATGTTTTTAATTAACACTGGAGGAGACCGGTTTTGTCTAACGCTTCTGTAGGTGGCCATGTTCGTCAGAAAATGAATGAGACACCCGTCATTCAAACAAATCGTCGCCATCTTTGGAGAACGTTATGTAAATATTTAATTGTGCAAAAATAGAATAGATTGCGAAGCGAACTGTTGCATTTCCCGGATGGTTCTTCGTTCGGATCTTGCAGCGAGTCCCACTGTTCGATTCATTCAATGTTATTAACAGTCCCTTCAACGATTATCTCCAACATCATTTTCAAGTACTTCATTCCCCGACGTCTTCTCTATTACCCGCATCGTAAATATCATGTAGTTCTCCAGAATTGATCAATGAATTTCCGAAAAGTTTCAAGGTATTAAATTTCCTTAATCATCATGTTCGTGTTTCTTCATGTTCTAATTAATTCGCGCCGTGAACTCTTCCCCGAATTCTAATTGCGACGCGGCTGCCTCGTAGAGGAACCCGACGTTTAACTGTTAAACGTCACCCGGACGCGTGCCGTCGTCTCACACGTAATTGAAGACTAATTGGAAAGCGGAGTGACGGTAATTTACCGTTTATTCCGATGCTTCTCGTCGCATCTATCTAAGTTCGAGCACGCACGCGTCCTCCATTCTTTCCTGCGTTTTTTTTCCTCTGTTTCTTCTGTTTCCCGACGCGACGGTTCACGAGCGCACCCGCGTGCTCCAGTTCAGTTCCAGCGAACATGAGGTCTATCGCCGGTACGGGGTCAAACGGTCGTTCGGGCAATCGTAGTGTGGCTGTTGCCTTCACCGGATTTGGGTCAAACTACACCCAGAAGCGAATCCTCTGCAGTTCCTGGTACCTTGAACCCGTGAAACAATCCGCCGTTTTACGCGCGGAGTTCGCTGTTCACCTTTCGTTTCGACGGACTTAGCAACCTCCTTTTTCCCGTTTAACACTTTTTAAAGGAACCTAAGGAAAGCCTGGCTTCTTTTATAAGCTAAAGAAAGTCTGCTTGCAACGAGTTTACTGATTTGAGTTTCGAATTCTGCCTTCGGAAACTGAAGACAAGATTGATTATTCTATTATCTCTGAAAATGATATTCGCGTTTGATTGTATAATTTATTCTATCAGATGTGAGCATAAAATATACTGGAGATTAACTGTGTATTACTACGTTTCTATTACTGTATAGTATGTTTTAATAATGATCTGAGATTTCTATTCATAATTTCGTTGATCGATGGTGATATGCGTAGGTTGCTGTACGAAGATAATCGCCTCGAGCATTGTACTCGTCTGTATACCTGTTCACAGGATTGCGAAGGCGTACTTGACATTAAGGTTGCCTTCGAATCGCGGAGCATTCGAATTATTCTCAAGGAGCTCGTGACGATGTTCGCGAGTGTAGCTCCGAGCAGTTTAGAGCCTGCGATCGTCGATAGATAAACGCCGATGGTTCGATAGAGTAACAAGATTTTGACGTCAGCACGCGTCGACTCTGGTTGCGAACTGAACTGTTCGAACCATGCCTAGCGTGTCATTTAATTTATAGGTTCGCAAAAGTTTAGTATCTTCTCACTATCACCCGACGTTTACAAATATATTAATATCGGAATGTTCCTTGAATAAAATTACCAGTGTAAATAATGAGACTGATAGAGGTATGTAAATGAAGAGTGCATTGTGTTGTTAGTGGAGATAAGATACGTGGAAAATGAATTGAACGTCAAATAAATTTCTTTTTAAATTTCTACATTTTACTTACGAAGCGTTTTAAAATTCATTAATATCTTTGTTCGGTTCGTTACACTTGCGCGGTAGTTATAATTCAATTTCCTCGAAGAATCGCAGTTGTTAAACAGTGACTAAGCGCGAATTTAAAAGTAACAAGTTCGACGGACTGTAAGAACGCGCTCGTGAATTCTGGCGAGGAAAAGTAAAACCGGAAGACCGTTTTCCGTCTGATGAGTGCCGCTTTATGCTATATCTCGACTGCATAAAACATAACGCTCGGCCGTTCGCGAGTACTCGAAAGTATTCTAGCTTTACGTAAGATGCATTGGAACGTTACATAACGGTCATTAAATTTCGCTTAACAATTAGTTCCGCGCGTCCGTCTCTAAACAAATCAATGCAATTTCGAACGGCCCGTGGCATAATAATTTTCGTGGAGGGCCAGTCGCTGATCTCTAGCCGACTGTTTCGTAAGGCGCAGCTGCGAGTCATTATCCTCTCGCCTACCTTGGCTTTCCCCGACGATAGAAGCGATTCGATTCGATTCGAGCCTCCCTTGTCCCCTCGCCAATTCCTCTACACGAGAGAATGATCGTTTCTAGAGGCTGATCCAAATAATTTCGCAACTACGTCGAAGGCTGTTCACGGACTATAGTTACTTAGCGGTAGAGGTGGAATTCCGTTCGGTTCCCTGTCTCAACTTTTAAGACCTTTTGTCCGCGACTTAGTCACTCATACTAAATAAATAATGTCCGTGCGTAAACAAAATTTCCACCATCTCATTGACTGATTTAAATGCTCGTGACATAAAATCTTTAACCTTGCACGGTAAATTAATAGACTCGCATGCACATGAAAGTAAAATGTGTTTATCTTCTGCGACATATTTTATTGCACCTTGTCCGTCACTCTATCTTAAATTATACCGTTCGTCCAAATCTGTCCTGAAACTAAATATTTAGTCTCGATTCGCTGTTCTCGTTGTCAGTAAATTAATAAATACACAGGGTCTCGTTGCGTGCAGCCTTTTACTAAGAGAACCGCTCCCGTTCCCTATTGAATAAATATTTTCCGTTTTCTGGTAAACTCGGCTTGGCTGGGTGGCGACTGGAAATAGCAGCGGAAGCACAACGGCCGCAGCTTCGACGCCTCGACACCGATCTACAGGGTGCTATTCGCAAACGCGACGCGACGAGGGTGAATTATGAACGACAGAGGATTCGGTAAAAAAAGCTCGACCTTGGTTCCGTGCGTATCGCTCTCGATAATTCACTGGATAAATCGAGCGGCGAGGCGCCATCGAACTTCTATTCGCGCCGATTCCTCGCGACCAAACGGGTTTTCCGCGTCGTTTCCTGTCCTTCTACTCCTTGACGAGTTCAGATTTCCTTGTTACACGAAACCGTGCAAACGATTTAACGCCGGTCGATTCAGGATGCTCGTTTGTATGCAATGAGCCTGCCGTGTTCTATAAATATATGCATCAACCGGGAAACAGAACATATGGGTCAAACTTGACACGTAGGCAAAATCGTCGATGTTGTTCCAAGGCTGCGAGTCGCGATCTTTGACTACTCGTTGGAAGTTGGATCGAGTTTATCGTTGGATCAATTTTTTCTGCCGGACGGTCGACCTTCGGACAGCCTTGACATCATGACCTACCTAATTTTCCCTCATAAAACTTTAAGCGAATCCGGATTCCATCTGTTGAAACGTAGAACGGGACACGTTCGAGTTACAGCCCCGTTTATTGGTCTTTTACTATAAATACAGTTTCACATTTCCGTTAAGCGCCACACCCTGTATATTCCCGAATAAACGTCTCGCTGTGTCGGCGGAACTTGTGCTTTTGTGAGACTCGGATAAAGGCGCGCAGTTTCGTCGACCATTTAGCGCTATTTCTTAATATGGAGAAAGAAATTCAGGAAGAAACAGTAAATATCTACAGCTGATTTTTCACAGTAGAAAAAGGGAATTGTTTAAGTCGGAGATAATCTGTGTTACAACTCCACGTCGAGAAGCATGACGAATTTATTCGCTACATGAGTGCCTATTTTGGCGCGAGTCGATGGAAGCTTGACGAGATGACAGGCAGAGCATGAAAGCCCTCGACTGCGGAATCCGGACGTGGATCGATTCTCGTGAAAAATGGCGGAATCATTGACCCCCGATCGCGTGTAGACGCAGCCTCGCGATGCCAATGTCTGACATTTTCAAAAATACTTGGCAACGCGCGCATGAATAAAACACGCGGGCGCGTTATCACCGGCGACGATCGATTTCCCGTGTCCCGGAGCCTCGCCAAACTTGACCAACCGTATATCGTTCCATTCACCTTTTCCTCCTTTCTTTTTTAATGCAGTTCTTTAAAAAAAATCTACCGTTTTATTGTTGCAGTTGTTTACTGCGATTACACTGCGTCTGGAAGGTCGCTGCAATTTCTCGAGGAGTACGTGGCGAAGGAGGTGCTGCCATATTTGGGCGACACCCGCGCGTCCACGTCCATTTGCAGCCTACAGTCTTCTCTGTTCAGGTAAGCCCGTACATTATTTTTCCCTTCGTCATCGTTTCAATTAGTCTATGAATCGTCACACGGTAGATGGTAATCAATCACGAGTATCTCGTTCCTGTAACGTGTCCTCATTAATTTTTAATCCCTAATGAAACGTGCATTGCCGTTTCATTATCGGACTGTCGCGCGTGGTCCTTGGTTGCTACCTAGAACTATCAAACAATTATGATAACGATCGAGGTCGCGACTTGAGGACGCATTTATACATCCGCGTTCACCAGCTGCCGCTTCCCAGAACCAATTCCAGTTACTCTCCGGCTTTATTAATCGGTGGAATTAGAGCTATTCGCGGACTTCGCATCCTCCAAAGAAGCGTCACGCTCGCCGATCATTGTTTCTTATTACAACACGCGCATACATACGAGCAGCGTGTACAAACGCGGATCGTTAGAAAGCTTGAACGCGCGCTATGAATTCGATTCGTGAGATCGTCGATTTCCTACGCGGTATTAACATACCGTACGCTAGAGCGTGCGATACTACGATTCCGGTTGACGTACCGTTTCCGCGGTAAACGAGACTCGTTTTCTGCGCCACTCGACCGTACTATACGCGCCTTTCTATTTCGCTTGCCCGGCCCGTGGAATTTCGCCTCGATTCCACGCGTGCCGTTTTACGTCCACAGGTTCATGCCGTTGAATTTATTAGGCCGTTACAGACCGACTGGCCGAGTTCTTAACGTTTCCAAAGGAAGAAATAGCGCTCGTTGTAATTCCTGTGCTGCGTTTTAACATCAAGCCAGCGTGAAGTAGTTTGTTTTAACGAAATCGGCATCAAACAGATAAATAAATCAACTCGAAATCAGATGGATGAGTCGTTTAGCCTAGTTCTCGTTCGAAGCGCGGCTGTCCCGCGCGGAGCGACCCGGTTTATCCCTAAATCTTATGCGGTCGAACGTGTAGGGTGGTTCCGCCCGGCGTCCCGTTCCCTGGCGCTGATGTCCCAGATCAATATCCCACCGAGTCGAGCCCCAACCACTTACCAGCTGGCCAACCACACCGCCGAGACAATAACAACCACCCCGTTTCTACGCGCCTGTTCCTGGTCACGCGATTGTCGAATCCTTCATCGTGTTTGCATTCTTCCCACAAGACGTGGACAACAATTACCTCTTATTATTCTTTTAAAACGGTAAATAGAAATATGGGACGTTACGTCGTTTTAGGAATGTCTCTGGCAACTATAAATTCGCATTAGCGTTGACGCGAAACGAGAAGGACGAATCTTAAGGAAATTTACTTGCTACGAGCTTAATCATGGTTTTCGGTTCGCAGTAATGTATGAAGGAACTCGAGTAACAGGGAAACGTTGTTCAGAAACGTAGAGGACCTTGTCCACCCTCGATCTTTACGATCGTTAATGATCGCGGAAGGACGAATCGATATATCCTGACGTGTATGGTTGCAGACACGAAGCCCGAGACATCGTTCGACATGCAGTGGGGACTGGCGAGCAGGATGCGGTCTTGTTCACCGGTCAAGGCACCGCTGGTGCCCTTCGCACGCTTCTGCGACACCTCGATCTCTCGGAGTCGACGGTGGTGTTCGTGGGACCGTTTGAGCACCACGCGAATCTACGGCCTTGGCGGGAGTACGGGGTCAGGGTAAGGGAGTCATTTCTTTAGAAACTGCGTCGCGTCAGTGGATGCTGTTTAAATGTTCTGGAAGACATTGAAACTTGCATATTCCTGAGTCTTCCTGGTTTGCGAAGGACTCTCACATCGGTGATATTCAGTTGTTAAGAATGAGTTACGATCGACCTTTTACACCCACGCGACTCAGTATAATTCATTTCGTTGAATTGCGGGTGTACGTACGCGTCTAGACTGTTAGATCAAAGGGTTAATATACGAGGTATTCCCGATTACGAATACTGGAGTCAGGGAACATTCTTTGAAACATACTTTCCGAGAGGAATTCCGTCGTAAATTTCTCGAAGTCTTCGACACTTCGCGGAACACCGATGCTTGGTTCTCGTCGGACAGAGATACCATTTCCAATTGTTCTCTTTGAAATGGTTCCAACTCTCATAGACGTTAAATCCTCAATGGAGCTTCTGCTAAAGACAATAATTATTTTTTCTGAGAATGTTATCTCTTAAATCTAAGTAAGTGCTTTACCAAGTTCTCAAAGACCGCTGAAAAATCAACGCTACGATTTAGAATAATGAGTCATACCTTTTAGGATTCTTCCTGTGCATGCAATGAAAGATAATAAAGAGTGAAATTGAAATGTGTGCCAACTATCCAAAGAATTCTAGACATTATGATTTATTGTGCCTGTGTAAAATTAGATGAAAAACATTAATCAACGAAAGTAGAACGGGAACAAGTGTAGTGAAATGTTTTAATTCGGTAATTTGTACTGTAGATAGTACGGGTGTCGGAGACACGTGAAGGTTTCTTGGATCTGAATGATCTCGAGCGTAGCCTGATCAAAGTGAGAGCTGAGGGTGTTACGCAAATGATCGGATGCTTCAGCGCTGCTAGTTGCATAACTGGGGTTTTGGCAGATGACGTCGCTACGACCCTGCTGCTGCATCAGTATGGGGCACTCAGCGTCTGGGATTACACCACAGCAGGTAACGATCGACTCGTGAAAGTATAATACATACATCATATAACGAGTCAAAACAATGAAAGATATTTCCGTGACGCAATGTTCGCCCCTTCCCTTTCATGTGACAAAAATAAATGATCATCCAATGTTTGACTTTAATCGATCAGAGATAAGTATAAGACGTTTTATCAGATGCATTCAGAATTTCAACTCAAACACTCGGTTTCATCCATCCGCGTTTTCCGTTTCTTATCAGAAATGTACGGTTTACTTTGACAGGAAGGTAAATAGATACAATACATTGTATATTTCAGCCCCGTATATCCAGATTGATATGAACCCGCATTTGCCCGGCGTTGGTGAGACGGCGGTGCACAAAGACGCGATTATTTTCGCCGGGCACAAGTTCATCGGCGGGGTTCAATCGCCGGGAGTTCTCGTGACTAAACGGTCGCTGTTGAAAGATAAAATTGTTACGGAGGACATGAGGGACTCCCATCATTATCACCGCGATCCGGAATTACGCGAGGAGAGCGGGACCGCAGGTGTCGTAGAGACCATCAGATGCGGACTCGCGGTTCAATTGAAAGAGAACGTGACGCCACGAGCGATCGTCGCTCGTCAAGATAAGATTTCCAGGTACGTCGATTGTTTTCTATATTTAATACGAAAATACATTGGCTTGTTGATTAAAATTCATTGCTTATCGATCGATCGGTTCCTTGGCTATCGTACGGCGATGACACCTAGTATTTTTATCTCTGTCGCACATTTCGCACGGCGCTCGGATTTAATTGTTTGTTTCGAAAATAAAACGCGACACGTGCTATGCCTGTGAAGTGAAGAAACACTAACGATAGGAATATTTGCGACCGGGGATGGAAAATCTCCCACAACTATGGTTTGGTAATAATAGATTTCTGGCTCGGGGCTACTTTCCAATTCGTAGATTATTTACGCGCTATTCTACGACCATTCCACGGTATGATTCTACTATACTTCGACTCGTGTACTTGAAAAGAATTCATGCGTATTATAAATTCAGTACAACAATAGTTCGTATTTCCATGAATAAGTATCCTTGAACGTCCAAACAGAAGAGTAATAGCTTCGATTGATTTTGGTCAAAGGACGTTCGTGTATAAAATCCTGAGAAGATCGATGCGAATTATCGTTTGTCCGGTGATCGTGACCGATGCTTCCTGTTTCTCTAGGCAAGTGCTGGCGCACGTGCGCACGATTCCGGAACTGATATTGCTCGGCAGCGGCTCGCAGAATATTAAGAGATTACCGATCTTCTCGTTCATGGTGCGACACCCGCGCGGGACGTTTCTTCATCACAACTTCGTCTGCGCCGTTTTGAACGACGTGTTCGGTATACAAGCTCGGGGAGGCTGTGCCTGCGCCGGTCGTTACGCTCACGACCTGATGGGAATCGACCAGGAACTCGCCAAGGAGTACCAGGAAGCTCTTGTGGAAGGGTACGAAAATCAAAGAATTACTTACTCATCTATTCTAAATCGATTCGTGTGTTTGCACGAAGCAGTGTAGTTACAGTTATTATTATTATATTATATTATATTATATTATATTATATATTAAGGTAAATTTTGTGATTCGCGTTTAACCGTGTTACGCTTATCGTTTTCCAGGGAACGGAACTCGGAGAACGAAGAGACAAACGCGGAGGGTTTGAGGCCCGGTTTCGCGAAGCTATCGTTCCCGTACTTCATGTCCGAGGCAGAAGTCGCGTTCGTCCTCGAAGCACTGAAGATGGTCGCGACCGAGGGCTGGAAATTATTGCCGCAGTACGTGCTGAACCCGGACACCGGCGAATGGCGGCATCACACGAACAGCGTATTCAAAGAGCGAAAGTGGCTCAGCTCGATCAGATACACGGACGGGAAAATGAACGCTTCCGAGAGACGAGTGTCCGGTTCCGGGGTGCTTCCTCAGAACTACGGCGACTGCCTGCAGACGGCTAGGAACATTTTCAACCGTGCCCGGAAAATGGCGCAGAGGTATCCCCTCCAGATAGATCGTAGTTACAACTTCGTGTCGAAACGGCTGGAGTCGTTGCGATGGTTCATGTTGCCGAGCGAGGCGCAGGATCTTCTTCTGGGCAACTCGCAGAACGTGAAGCAGGACGTGCCTTTTAATCCGATACTGTCGTGGAGCAAGCAGGGCCACTGCACGCCCACGAGCACGCACGATAGTCTGGCGAATCTGTACAACAGCGCAGGTCTGGCCAGCAGCATTCGACGACTGAACAGCGACATTCCTCGGACGGGAAACGTGCCGATATCCTCGATCTCGCCCAGACACCGAAGTCTTCCGGTATTGAGCACCGTGAGGAAAACTTTGATGAACACGCCAGAGTTTCAGTCCTCCAGTCCAGGCAGCGGCACCGACGAGGAACAAATGATCGCGAACATCGATAGAGGCAACGACTCGATGGGTCAGAGGTCACCGGCCACTTGCCCGAGTTCGCCGATGCCCGTGAGATTCGCGGTTGGCGAAGCGGTCACGCCATCGGTTCTCGGCGGTGCGATGTCGCATCCGGGCAACAGGCCAATTAAAGAGCAGAGAGATCTGATGGACGCTGCCAACGCTGGTCGGACCAGGTGCAATTCACTTGGCAGCACCACCGGTACCGCGAACGATTCGGAGAACCGTACCGTGGCGTCCTCCTCGTCTTCGCCCGTCCCGCCGCTCCCGTTGAGCCCTCAAACTTTAAACAGCCTTGGACTGACCGGAACCAACGGCAACTCTGTGAAATACAGACGTCTCCATTGCAGTTGCAGCAGCCAGACGGAGTTAAATTCATTGGAACTGGACAACGGCAGCCCGAGTCACTCGATCATATCTCTGAACTGTCACACGGCTACCTCGCCGCCGTCTTCGTTCTCGTCCGTTGGCGATTACACGGAGAAGTTCGTGGGTGGTGGCAGGTCGTCGCCGGTTTCAGCGAACGGTGGGCAGAGGTCAGAAGAAGATCTGCGAGCGTACGTGAAGGAGATGACCAAGGAACTGGCGACGGAGATCAAGTCCGAGATTCGGGAAGTGATCTCGAAGGTCGACGACGCGCTCTCGGAGACGAACACTTCGGAGAACACTCCGCAGCATCATTCACGAACCTTGAGCGCTAACAGTCAGCTCTCTGTCGAGGATAAGCAAACGAGACACGATTCGTTCACCGCTAGCGATATCGCGGAGTACTTGATGGAATTCTCGAAGGAAATGGCGAGCGAAGTGAAATCTGAGATCAGGTGCATGATGAACGCTGTAGACGGATTACACAGGCACTCGCCCGACGCTTCCGTTTCTGACGTTTCCTCCAATGGTTGCGGATCTCCGGACAGAGGAAGAGTACTCCAATCCTCGTCTTCGCCGAGGATGTCGAGTGCCAGGCGAAGCGGGCCAATCGAGATCTCCGGTAAGGTCGGAGAGCTGACGCAACAGGAGAGCAAGATGTCCAGCGAGTGCTCGTCAGACGAGACGGTGATATACGTGATGAAACCACCGGAGAACGAGCAGCTGGTTCGCAATCAATCAAAAACGGACGACGAAGAGGTGGTACCCGAGTTGGACGACGATCTAAACGATGACGACGGTCAAGAGCGTGGCGGTTTGGACATCGGGGACGCGCAGAAAGTTCTTCCAAAAATTTATTCCGCAGTGAACTCCGTCAGCTCTCAGGACAGTGGTATCAATCTGTCCTTCCACGAGAGCGACAAGTCTCTGGATTCGGTGGATTTAAAGCGGAGCAGCAGTGCGGAATCCAATTCCGCGAACAGCTATGGTCGCAAGCCTAGGACGAATTCTATGACAGCTTTGCCCGGTAAATCGAGTTGCAAGCAGCAGCTCCGACAGAACGAGGACTTTTCAGAAGATGAAGAATGTTCTAGCGACTTGAAAGAGGAAGAAGACGGAGACCAAGCAGCGAATTTTGAACCTAATGCTGGAAAGAGCGAGGAGTCCCGAGTCCAGTGGCACTGTCCTCCGAAGAACGTCTGGAAGCCGGCAGTTGAAGGAATACAGGAGTTCGATATGATTCGGGACAACGATAGAGTACTAGTTTGTCTATCGCCTACCGGCAGAGATTCATTATCGCTGTTGCACACGTTGCATCAATACCAATCCTACGTGAGATCGAAGGGCGTGGAGTTCGAGCTCGGAGCCGCCACTGTGGACACGAACAAATACGATCCTCTCGAGTTGATGAGCTACTTGAAAGCCTTGGACGTTCCTTACTTTTACGAAGAGCAATCGAGCGAGGCCAAATGCAATAGCGGCGAGAATCAGCCGGAGGAAATGGACGTCAATGGTGCGTGCAGTTTTTGCAATCGGACGACACGGGCACAGCTGTACGACATCGCCAAGCGACACAATTACAACGTCCTGGCGCTCGGCCAGCATTTGGACGACCTCACCGAAGGTTTCCTGGTCTCGGTGTTCCACGGCGGCAAGTTGAAGACCATGAAGGCCCACTACTACATCCGCCGTCGAGAGCTCAGGGTCATCCGACCGTTCGTTTACGTACGTGAAAAGGCGTTGCGACAGTTCGTCGAGAGCAAAAAGCTGTTAGCATCAAGGGAAACTAGGTCAAGTGATCTTCCGGAGGTGAGTTTCATCTATATCCTTAATTGTTACTCGTCCCGCGCCCTCCGTCCACCTAGCTCCGGCGTTTAATTAGATGCAATCAATAATTCTCACGCATTTCCCTCGATTCCGTCGCACTTGACCTATTCCGATTCGACTAAACACTCAAACGCTTCTGTTCACAGAAACAGAAACAAAGCAAAGAACTGATTCTTCAACAAGAGCGTGCCTATCCTCGAATATACTGGTCCCTGAAGGCCGCCCTCAGACCTTTGATCGACGCCCACGGACAGCTCCAAGACGCGGATTCAATTCCCTTAGCGGGGAATAGTGCGGGGAGCAGTTCCAGCAGTTCCAGTTCGAGCGTCAGCAGCAGTACCACTGGTTCTAGTAATCAACAGAAGAGACAGCGACGAGTGAAAACGAGCTCGGTTATCGTTCAATGCCCGTCGCAGGAGCGAGAAGATGACGAGGAAACCGATGAAGAACCGGTACTTTGAGGGAGACCCGCCGCGAGATGGGATTTAAATCGTGCACCGGTCTCATCCGCGCATCACCGTCGAAAATTACCGTCATCAGCGTTCTCCGTGGTCAGACGAAGGCGGTTACGTTACGCCAACACCGTCGCGAAAGCAAAGGTTCAGGATCCTAAAGGAGAATGTTAAAAAATAATCGATGCGTCGATATCAATTCGTGTCGAAATAATCAAATCGTGACGAATCGATTGATGATGAATTTAATTATTTCGGAGAAAACATTTCTTGTATTATCTCTTGCCAGTAGCGATTGGTTGATCGCTTGGTTTTTTTCTCTGTAGACGGTTGGTGCTTGAGCGATTTCTCAAATTTTGTTTCGGAATTTGACGAACACATTCACTGAGATACCTCGCAGGATTTCGTAAATGTTTTTGAAAGTTCATAATAGAACGTCGAAGATAGCGTATACTCGAATAATTGACGCGATACGATCAAATATTTGTATGCCTTGAATTTTGAATGAATCGTGACGGCATCGTCGCGGCTCGTTCGTTGTCTAACGGATGCTCGACGAGCTACTTAAAATGAAAACTGTTGTGCGCGGTTAAATGTTACTTAGCTAAGGACACTTGGCGTTTAATAACCACCAACATGTCGAGACTTCAGTTATACTTATCGCTTGACGGCAGAGGCAGACGAACATTGCAACCACGTCGTTGAAAGTTCTGCCTGTTGAATAAAGTGACGATCTATGAGCGAAGGAACTTTGGATCGTTGGTACAAGTGTTAACGATATGAGAAACGAAAGTGTGTCGAGAAGAGCCAAAACCTCAACTGCTCAAAGGACTGAAGTGTACGTTTGATTTTTTATATATAATTGTGATTTGATAAAAGCAACGAGTCTCGCGCAACACGATGATTAGAGTTAGTCGTTTTCAGATAATTGACAAATTTTTGTAAACCGTGCCCAGAACCGTGGCTGTCCCGTCGGGACGAGATCCTTTTACCAAGCATTTCTTGATCATTGAACATAATGAGTCTTTCATTGGAGGAGGAAGATTAAGGATTTGTAAGGACCATTGCATTTGATCATTATCGTTTCGAATCGATAGGACGTTCATTTTTTTGCGGTCAGAAAAACGTCGTCCTTGACAATTCGACAACGCATCAATGTTGAAAATTAAAAAGGGAAACACCGATATGTGCGACGGACCAATTCGATAAAGGTGCATACGTGTGTCTGTACGTTCTTTGGCTCGCGCGAACGTTAAATATCTTTGCAGTATAGAAGCAAATTCCCGAACTAAGATTTGAGGGTTTGAGGTTTTGACGAATTATCAAATTCTATTTGCATGTACTTCAATAGCACGCACATAATACATGCGCGACTGGTCGCATGTATGTACATCGCGATTATATTATACGTGTACATATACATATACCTACCTACCGCTTCCCTGACAAGTAAATCGAAGAAACGTGGTACATATATATATATATATATATATATAAAATATACATATAATGAATCATTAAACGAAAGCTTTTTCCTCTTAACTGGTATGAATATACATACATCTATACATGAAATATATCACGCATGTCGCCTTGTTCGAGATAACCGGCGGATCATATTTTTCGACTATTGTATAGCCCCTTCTTCGTCGATCGAAAAAACAAACTAAAAAAGCAAAAAAAAAAGAGCGCGAGTGTCGGGTCGCTCGCAAAATGTTTTTAGGAAACGAGTGTATGGGATAACTTCAAATTCTTCTTGTTATTAACGTGGTGAGCGTAATCATTTCCGAAACTTGTCCTCGCCAGGTGTTTGGATTTTGTGTAAATGTGGATATTAGATCCCAACCATCAGTAGACTAGGTCCCACGCGAAGCCAGTTAAACGGTCAAAAAGCTGGATTGGCGTATAGGTGAACATATGTGTAAAATATAAGACAGCCGAAGCACGCTCGTGATCCAATCATTGAACAAAGTCGTGCGGCTTGATACTTAACGTACACGTCTTGCGTTTCCCTTATTTTTTTTATGTTCCACGGTTGCTAGCTGTATCTGTTTAGAATTCATCAGAAAGGAACGTAGGCCGCATGAATAAACAAAAGAAACTACATGCACACGCAGCGTAGATTCCCCTGTATAAGTACGCATTTTACGTCGTACCGATTTCTTTCTCCTTCTTTAGCGACAAATTCACGGGGCGTGAAAGTGTGCTTTGAACACCGAGTGTAGTTGGGATGCGAAACACGCGAGACGGAATGGACGGATGTCTTTTGATCTATATCAATTTCTGCGGATAGATATTACCATATTTTCCGAGAGTTACGAGAAGACGTTGTTACTGTAAAGATATGTAAGTTTATTTATCGCTAATAAAAATGAACGTTTAAGAAAATTATCCATCGTTCGATTTGCACAATCGTTTTATTACCAGCTTACAAGAAACGAAATGATTCCTTGTTCTCGTATTTCAGCTTTTTTCACAAAGCTTTAGTTACATTTAGAGCTATTTAAAAAGTGCGGATTAGATTAGAATAAATTAGACCCAGGAAGCTAATCGTTGCATTTATTCAGTAGTTCTATAAATGTAGTCTTTTTACGCTGGACGAAAGGAGTGGACAAGAAAAAAAGAGCAGGTACACCATTGTTTATTGGATTTATTAGACCTATTAAAATATTTGAAACAGCGTGCGGCTCTTGTTTATTTGGCGTAACAGTGAGATATCGTTAATAAGGTACACAGTACGAAGCTCAAGGAGAGCAAAGCGATCAAGAGTCATTTAAAATTCGCAGTTCCATTCCCGCGGCCTCTGAGCGTCCCCTCCCGCGAATAAGTCGACGAGCAATTAGGGGGAAATCGTCCGAGATCCGCGCCACCAATAGTTGTTTTTCGAAAAATGCAAGCGTAAAGTTTCCGTCGTTTCATCATGCGCTTTTCGTCGCAGCGGTCTTCGAAATGGTGAGAATGCGGTCCTAGAGTAGCTCTCGCGCTCTCTGGTTACATTGCGTTGTAACGCGATGCAATCGTATCGAGTTTGCTGCGGTGCTGTTTGTTCTTAACAATTATTAACATTAGAGAATAGTGTGACTTAGATTAAAGAGGAAGAGAGAGAGAGAGAGAGATTAAAATCGAAAATCCACATATCTCACGAGAATAAATCGATCGCTATGGTTTCATTTTTTTTTTTTACATTGACACGGGCGATCGAGACACGAACATGACTTAGACAGTGATTTAATTAAATCGTTGAGGGAATCAGCGCTTCAGGAGAGGAGCACAATCGTTGTATCGTTACAATTATATATCTATCATTTTGTTGAACGTTTATGTGCATTTTTTAATCTATAGTCAAGAGCATCGTCTTTTTAACGATCGCCTCTCCGTCTCCCTGGCTGATCTCTTGATTATTCTGAGTAATCGAGCAATGTTCACGTAGATTTATCGTAAATATTTTTTAACACAGTTAACGAAGGAAATTAGACGACGTGCCCGCTTGCTGGGATTTTATGTTACGCGAAGTCTCCATTTATTTTATATTCTGCTTATGTTCTTACTTGCAAAAGTACAGGAATTAAATCAAAACAAGTAAAAATTCTTTTACATAGATAGTAAAAGTAAATGTAATTTACATTTGTCGATGCCAATTGTCAAGGGGAAAACGACAATAATGAACGGACGCGGTTTTAAAGGGGGTAACATAAAATCACACCAGGCGTATTAATCTATTAATCTTAATCGATAGGTGCTAGATTAGAGCTCGTCGAAACGGTCCCCTGGCTTTGATAATAGTCGTGACCGAGCCGTGTTAAAAGCGGCGCTACGGTCACCGTTTGGATCAGACGATGGTACACCCTGTTGCGTCGAAACGAAATCAGTTCCCGCGTCGGCGCGAACTTTCAACCTCCACCTTTTTCAAATCCATTCTACATATGTTCGTTTCTTGTTCGACGAACGAGAATAGACGATACGGACGTTTCGAAAAATAATCATTTAACACGATATTGCCGACAGTGTCATAGATGCAGCGAAGTGAATGTTAGAGGAGGAAAAACAGTGCGGCGAACGCGACGGTCCGCCGACGCGTTCGGCTATCTAACACAGACACGAGAATTATTTAAAATCGTTAGTAGCCAGGGGACAGGGTCTCGTCCTCGTCGTCCTCCTCGTCATCTTCGGGCCCTGGCTCGCAGAGCGCGTGAGCGAATTCTGGAAACAGAAAACAACGCTTTTGTGGCAATTTCGACGACCGAGTGTTCCTAACGACGTCATAAATATGAATAACTCCATGAATTTGATTTCCGTGCGTCGCTGCTATTTAATACGTCCACCCTCTTCAATTTCGACGGAAACTCCAAATCCCCGTAGCATAAAATTACGTACGCCCCGAGAACTTCTAGTATCGAATTACTTTAGAGACATATTGGATGCTCTATAACCTGTTTCGTATTCAGCTCTCGTTCACAAAGAAAATAAATTCGCTCGAAATGCGACTAGCCGGCCCGCGGCACGAATTCGATAAACGTAAACTATCGCTACTTTCCCGGGGCTACACTAATCTTATTACAAAGCACCGCTGGGAACGAGGTGTGCTGCCTCGAACCCTCCGTCATTTAAAAAATCGATATAGCATAGGGCACATCGGTGGCTTCCATACTTCCCAAATTCCGAGCGAAATATTTAATTTTACCGTAACGATGCATGGTAACGTTCGCTGACCACCAGTGGTCGAACGAGAAAAGCAAACAGCCGTTGAAAAGGGGTGACAAATCAACGGGATTTTCTCGCCACGGTTTGATTGCAGTCTGATTACGTGACCGCGAGATTACTACGGTCTACGAAAAGTTTCCGTCGATTTGGGAACTGGGATAAACACACATGGTCCTGATCGAGCATCTATATTATTTTCCAATTTACTTCAGCTTAACTTTAACTTACCGTAGAAATCGATCCGACCATCCCCGTCCACGTCCACTTCCTTGATCATATCATCGACTGAAACACATAGAGAAAGAAAATCGGCTTACATCCTGTATTTGTTCCACATTAAAATGTATCGCCGAATGGCTGAAACAAAAGAGGGACGATTATAGTCACAACTTTTCTCTCTTATCCAACTTTAACTTGGTCGTAACTACCGCGGCATTTGTTGCGTGGAAATTCTGCCCGGGTTTGTACGCACACGTACATGCATGCACATAATACGTGGCTCAGAGATTGCACGCTCTCGCGATAATCGTGTTGGATTGATTACAAAATTGTCGCCCAGAGTGAAGTTGGAAAGTCGAAATTAATATCAGCATCGCCGTTAATGGGCTGGCACCCACCGAAATGGCAAATATTGCATTTAGCCTGATTAAAATCTAACCATGGATGGTTCGTATGCTAATTGAGGGTGTTCCGGCATGAGGCAGCCAGTAATTTAATTTTTCATTGTTGTGATTCCCGTCCGGTTCTCGCTTCTGTTCCCGCAAAATTCAAAGTGTATCAGCAACACAACAACGTTCAATGAGATTAACATTCCCATTCTAGTACGTGGTAACGAGAAACCCCTCGATAATGAGACCGATACGTGTAATATCCTGAAAAACCATACGCCATACACGGTCAGATCCTTCAGTTTAATTGTAATTGATAATTCGATTCGTGTAAATTTTTTTTGAACATTTCACATTCTCTTCTCTCACCTCAATTTTCATATTTTATATCTAAAAACTTTCAAATCCCCTTTTTATACGATGCAAAGTGGAATCCTGTTTTGTTTGTAATTTAGAAAGCTAAACAAATCTCAATTTACTTTTTATTGCTATAATATTGCTTGTATGAACATCTTACTACTAGCTTAGACAGTTCATTATATGCAATCGAGAGCTAATCATAAACTCAACAGTTCCCTTGTTACGAACTCTCACAAACGCTTAACGCTGTTCGTCTACAGCAATTTATATCTTATTAATTCGAATCACGATTTACAAGTGTTAGATTGAGAAAGTAATTGTGAAAACATTTCTCAAGGGTACTGAGCGAGTCTCAGACGACGAATTGCGTTCTCTAAGAATTTACGATGGGAAACAGTTAGGGAGTAGCCACAAGGGATTCCTTTATCTTAATCCTTTTCTCAACAGTTTTGAGAATCGTCTTGTGTCATTATTAACGCGCTACAAGATTTATTATTGAATATTGAGATTGCTGAAATTTCTACGAAATTTCTAATTCGACAGAAAGTTTCGTCATGGTGTTATTAAATTTTACAATCGGTTACCTCCTCGAAAGAGCGTTAGCCATTATCGTAATCGGATTCACATGGCCAACGGCGATTATTAATACGCGTACACAGAAATACGTGTACAGCACAAATTGATTCCGGTCAATTAGTAATCTCGTCCCTCGTCGTGTCCGTCGGATTATTACGTTGCCGTAGCTATAGTCGAAGCTGAATGGATACATGGAACGGGCGCGCGAGCAATTTACCATCGCCGTAGTCCCGCGCGCTATTAACGCACGGCCTCGGACAAATTCGCGCGATATGTTTCTTGATTGTTCCCCGTGAAACTTTCACGATGCGGAAGATAGATACACGATTAGTTTCGTTCGTTGTTTTTGCCCGGCCGCGGTTATTTTACCGGGTCCGTTCGAGCGAGTTAACTTTGTTACCCGCTTCATCCGGGCCGGTTGATTGTTCACGGTAAAAGGAGAAGGAAAAAAATCCCTGAAATTTAAAACCGATACGTATGGGTAAACGGGTAGAGCAATTAACGTTGAGTAAAAAATTAATTTTTCCTCTCGTTCGACACAGCATTCAAATATTTAAAGGCGTACGTATTCGTTCTACATAATAAAATTCAGATAAAACTTTTTTTATGCCTGGATTAAATAATATCATTCGTAATTCTCATAAAATATTATATATCTTATATGATTCTCGTAAAATATCAGAAATATTTCTGTCATAAAAAACAAGTCACGTACGTTCCCAACTTTGAAAATTTTCGCAAACGCATAAGTGCATAAAGAAATTTCTCGTGATGTCTCATCGCCTCTGACAAAAAAGAGCGCGTGGTCGAAACGACAGAACGTGATGTTCGCTTTAAATTGCAAAGGAGCTTCCGAAGTGGTCGCGTAATCTGGAAAATAACGAGAGGGCGTGAAGGTTCCTTTGCCTGTTTCACCGAGGAACAACCGAAGCGGAATCGTGTGACGGATTCGAATCTGCGGAAACTGACCGAGAACGACGCGTCGAATAAAATTAGACAGCACGCGCGCGGACTAATCCCGCAGGATAACAGCAGAGGAAACAATACGGACGAATGTTTTCCCGAATGGAGTCTTGTTCCGCTCCGGGCTAATAGTCCTGCTCTTTCTTCTCGCGTTCCCTCTTCCGTTTCGTTTCCCAGAACCTGGACGATCTTCGAAATAATATTGGTATTGTCTGCGTTGGTCGTCGCAAACGAATCGTATGTATATATTCGATGCTCGCAGGCATTTTTCAAAAGTGAGTTTCATGGAATTTCCACGCGACGAAGTGTGTGCCAAGTTGGATGGAAGGATTTTGCGTATCGCGGACCTTGCAACGGTTTTCAAAGTTTTTAACGGAAATCCGTTGCGACAGATGGACCGCGTACTTCAACCAAGGATGCGTCGACGATCTCAGATTGGATTCGATTTATTGCGTTGAGCGACGAAGGACAAGCGCGAAATTGGCATCGGAACGGAGGACTACTTTCAACGAGATTCTCATCTGGTTTTTGTCTCGCGAGGATCGTTTCTTCCTTTGTTTGTTTCCGAGTTTACGGACTGCGAATCGATTCTGCCGATTTGCTTTTGTCGGGCTGCAATGTTCATGTTCCACGGTAAATAACTGATAAAATTGAATTAAAGTCTCGGAAATATTGGATAATAACTTGTACGAAGCCATACTGCGAAATAAACTAATAAATAGATAAAGAGATTCATAAAGTCGCAAGTTTTATTGTCTCACTTGTGGTAGACTAAACTACTTCAATTTCAGTTTTTCTACTATAAATCGTTTGATCGATGCAATTTAAGGATGTATTGGCTATACAGTCAATCCCAAAAGTTTATGTACCTTAGAAAAACGCATTTCCTATAATTAAAAATAAGACGTCGGAAGAATAATGCTAATAATAAATAGCTACGTGCTAAAAAGTATAGAAGGAAATATCCAATTAAGTATTGACGCTGACGAAAATTTCTTTTTCAAAATTGCGAAAAATGCTTCAAATAAAAGTTGTTTTTCTCCTAACTTCGATATTTAACGAGTTACGTATGATTATTTGGCATTTTATTGATGTTGACAAAATCCGACCATCCCAGCGTCGAAACGGCGAACTTTTGGCAAAAAATTTCATTTTTGATTAATTACTCCTAAACCGTTGAATCTACGGGAAAATTGTATAGGACCTTTCTTGTAGAGGACGATAAGATCTACAATTTCCATGTAAAAATTTTTCGCTAGCATTAATATTTAACGAGTTATTGACGAAAAACGAAAAAACAGTTTTTTGCATATTACTCGTTAACTATTAACGCTAGCGAAATATTTTTACATGGAAATTGTAGATCTCGTTGTCCTCTACAAGAAAGGTCTTATACAATTTTCCCGTAGATTCAACGGTTTGGGAGTTATTGGCCAAAAACGAAAATTTGGAAGAAATTGAAGGGGTACCCCTTGGAAAAATCTCGGAAAAATCGACAATTTTTTTTTGTTGTTTATTATTAGCAATGTTCTTCCGACGTCTGATTTCTTTTTAAAAAATGCGTTTCTAAAGTGCATAAACTTTTGGGATTGACTGTATAGCCAATACATCCTTAAGATGTCGTTTTATATGAAATACGTACTCCTGGAATGCATTTCTTTTGTATTGTTATAACAAACATTTCGCAGCGTGACTACCGCGGTTCTGCTGTATTTTCGTCATATAATTTATTCAATTATCGAGTCCGTTTACTTAAGAAATAAAAGTTAAGATAATATCGTAGTGAAGAGTAATATTTATCGAGATTGTTAAATAACGAATTTCAAATAGCACGTACTTTCTTCCTCGGAAAGATCCTCACCGAGGCACTGCAGTACTGCTCGCAGATCGGACGCAGTGATGTACCCACGATTATGCTTGTCAAACACCTGCGAACAGACAAAGAGACCGTCTTCACTCTACCATATTTAAGCATTTGCCATCGACGATGTCCATAACCAAACGGGGGGGAAAAAGTGTTCCTTGGGAATAGATTCTTTTATGAGATAAATGGAATACCGGGTCGGAAAATAGCAGACTGGTTTTTTCTCGCACAGACCTAAATAAGGGTGGACCTCTAGGAGGGTCGCGTCGATAATCGCGGCGAAGGCTCGCGCGGAAAAGCGCCACCGCGGGGATAATAACGACGCGCACGTCTATTATTTATTACAGTCAGAACGCAACGGTTCGTGGACCGCGCGGCCGCTGGAACCTTTCGTCTAAGTAGAATTAGGATTGATGCCGCTCCTGGGAACGTTCCCAGCTCGACCCGGCCTTGATGCAGCCGCCCTTTTCCGATGTCCGCTTCGTTACCGCGGAATTAATGGGCTCGCTTCGCCGAGAGAAACGAGGGGACCTCCGTTCCGTGGAGTCGCGCCTGCCGTCGCTATTGAATCGCGTCCATTTGGGAGAAAGGATGTTTTGTTGATATTCGTGATCGGCCATGACAGAAATATGAAGAGTTTTATCGAGCATTGATAGAAAATAGAAACCGAGGCGAGGACGAATATATATTTTATACTCGAGAATGGGATCGTTCCTGACAATACTCAACAAAGGAAATAAAAATGATCATTGACTGCGTGCGAGTATCAACGATAAAAATGAATTAAAATCGAACCGCTGCGGCAAAGGAGATTTTTTGCGGACTTTTATGTGATCACTTATTGCCGGATGCGAGTTTTCTCGGTTAACGAGGAGCAATTAAATTACAGGTGAAACTCTCGCGTTACTAAAGAGATCACAAATATTGCGCGCTGTTGCGCCCGGATATTGCGCGAATATTTATTAAATTCGCCCCTCGTAAACACGTACGATGTTCGATTCGCGTCGGCGGTTGATAAACGTTTTTGTGCCCCGTTTAATGTGCGAGCGAAATTGCGTGCTTGCATTCGTTTATCGAATACCCGGATCCGTGTAAGCATCATATTACACGTGCATCATAACGAGCGTATGATCTACCGCGTCGATCCGAAATTGAATTTCGCTCGTAATCGACATTTAAAACGACTTCAACGTTACATAACTTTTATGCCGTGTTACACGATCTGCCGCGTTACAGGATGTGCGAAACTAATTCTGTACTTTAATTTTCTCGAATGAACTTAACACGAGAAATATTAGGGAGTGGAAAATCTCATTTGCGAAGATAGGTAAAGCGATAGGAGGAAAAGTTGAGTGGTTTAACAGAGACTATTTTCTTAGACTTTACGGTATAATCCCTTGCTCTCGAGCGCGATGCATTCGGTTGCCCTTTATTTAAATGAAGCTACGCATCGATTCTCATTATGCTTACAAGACACCGCTTCCGTTTCTCTGTTGGAAGCCTGCTTTATAACAACGCACTTCGCGGGAGATTATTCACAGAATAGTGTGCAAAGTTGCAGGACTATTCATTGAAAATATAGAACGACGAACTGTAACTGAATACCAGAATTCAAACGTTAAGCTTTTTAGCTTCCAACTTACTCTGGAATTGTAGACTCTGTTTCACTTCTTAATATAAAGGAAGATAACGCCTTTTTAAGGGACAACTCCGCGTTTCTCTTCCTTTCCTTTCCCTTTTCATTTTATCTCGAGGTCAAAGGTAACCCAGGTGATTGCGAATCGATCAGCTTCCAGGTTGCGGAAGTCCTATTACAGTCGAAAGTCTCATTTTTACCAGATGTCGAGACAAAAAGGATTAAAAACACAGTAGGTGAAATATTTATAAATCATTAAATCCTTTCGTTATAATGAAATTATTAATTGAATATTAGACTTTAAGCAGTTAAATAGTTCTTCGTTTCCTCGACGGGATTACGGTCGAACGTTGTTCCATTATAGGAAATGAGAAAGTAAAAAAGCGCCGGCGTCTCGAGGCACCGGGTTTTGTTGTCGCTTGGGTGCACATAGGGAACCGCAATCGCTCGGGCCATTAGAGCAATTACTAAATCATTTAGCCTCCTAACCGTTCCATTGTTTGCCCCTGCGAATGGATATACACGTCAACTGGAACGGCGAGCTGTCATAATTAACACTATTGTCGTTTGCGTAGTTGAAACAGGAACGTGTCCGGGACGTCGCACGCGGTAATGGTAATTTTTGTGATTTTGTTAGCGATCGGTCGTCGAGCGCTGATTGATCGATCGCGTTGATTTCATTTAATAAAACTTGAATTCCGTTTGCTATTGAAACAGAACAGTTTAATTGATTAATTCACGTTGGACGTGGATGAATCGATTTTCAAAAGATCATCAGCATTCGCGAAGAGCGATGTTACAACATAAAACGAAAGTTGAAGCGAAATATATTTTTGAAAATTAAAAAGAGCGACGCCTCGATCGTTGCTGTACCGTAACTAACACGTGAAGTGTGCGCAGCAGACGAATCACTCGGTAAGCATGCGTTGCAAAGGTTAAGGACGATTAATTGCGTGCTCCGACGCATATCACACGTCGACGTTCTTTAAAAACAGTGTCACGGTCGTACGAAAGTGGCTAATGAGTAGAAACCTGATTAAACTTCGAGCTAATTTTATCCATTAAAGCTCTCCCACCACGTGAAATTCATTCTGAAAAATGATACAAGTATTATAGCCAGTTAAGAAAAGTCAGAACTCATTTGTTAACACTCACGATCACATTACGCAAAGTTGGAATGCTCAATTTTCCACCACTTTGTTATCCAGAATCATATTATGCCTGTGCTCTTCTTTTATGCATACCCTCATTCGTCTCGCAGAGACGTGCGCGAACCGGAATAAATCATGTCGTTTATCCCATAGCAGGTTGCGTGTCAGATAACACGCGAACGAAGTGAGAGAGAGAAAGGTTTCGCGGCATTTATCGCGAATCCAGGACGAATCATGAATTCCTCGCGCGGCCAACGACAGCTACGACTGCTCGGGAAATCGAAAAAAGGATTACTACCCGGGAACGGCGAGGGTGTCGCGTTGTGCCGTGCGATAGGGCGATAATCGCGGGTGTTAGAACACCGGCTACGTGACAAACGTAATCGCGCCGTGAAGAACACGGTGAAAGTTCTCGGAGTGTCAGTCTACTCGCATTAGGCATATTAAACGCGGAACTTTATTGTTTCTTCGCAGTCTCGCCTTCTTCTCTCCGAGCTAACTCCATTACTGGCTCTGTTGTTTCATCCCGATTTTTCCTCGAGTGTACACTTCGCTATATTAAAACCGTCTCTGTTTGCCGGAATATCAAATTAGACGGAAGGGCAATTGGTTACGGGGTAAAAGCTTTCTCGTCGTTTGCGAGAAAACGAATGTTGATTCGCACGATTGACGTTCGTTCCACGGGTGTTACTCTCTGTCGGTGGTTTACATACATTGGTTTGCCTGTTCCTTTCAGACACCGGCCCAAAGGGCGAACCGCGTAAAGCGCGGTATTTGCGCGTACGATACTCGTGGGATACGATCTGAATTTTTGACCCTTGTGTTTCCTTTCTACGTATTCCACATTTGCCTGATTTCACGAGCTATTCCATTTTCACCGCCGTTCTCGGACAATAAGTTGTCCGCAGATTTGCATATGCAACGGACTCTTTTGATGTTACCGCCGCGGGATTACCATCGCGTTCTGAATGGGAATTATGCTATATTATTTGCTGAAATATTTTTTCGCAAGTCGCTCATTTAGAGAAAGAGTTGGACATGAAGTGAACAATAAAATTTAATTCAAAAAGAACTCTACGAAGGCACGAGACTGTCCTTTTGAGAACGCCGGTCGTATAATAATGTCGCCCGATACGATAGCCACGTTTTTTCGTCACTTTGGCAATATTCATTTTTCGCCTCTCTTCCCATTTTCCACTCGAACGCAATAAATCTTACGAATCGTTCGTTATGCCCCGCCGCTCGCCGCTCGCTTTATTCCGCTAGCTTCCAAGCTGTTTCTCGCTCCTTTCTTCCTCGCTTCCCGCTCTTTTTTCCGCGTTTCCCACCTCGTTTATCGCTTTTTTTTATTCCCCGATCCCTGGCTGCAATCCAGCCGTGCCGGCGAGCTCGCCAACCCACGGAGATTAAAATATCGACTTGGAACATCGTGATACGTCGCGTCTGATCCTAATGGCAACTCGCTAAACTTTCTAACCGCGTGCGTTAGGCGATTTAAAGATATTGCGGCGAGATTTTCAACGCGAACGCCTGAGTGAATTGTGAGAGCAATTCTGAGAGAAACGAACCGCCCTCTTCCGCAGTTGCACCCCGTCAGAAGATTAAAATTTTTTTAAATATTTGTTCTCAAGCTTCAATCGATTCTTCGTATCGTTATACGCGAGCGATGGATTTGCATTCCGTGATAAATATTCCTATATACCTTTTCTCTCTCTGTTGATCCTCGTATCCCGTTCTTCTTTAATTGATATGAATATCCAATCCGAAAACGCGGTTAACTAGTGGCCCGACGCGATTTTCCAATGGACAGACTCTATTGAACAATCGAATGGCAAAACGAATCGGACGGCATTTTACGATCCTCCAACGATTGCGTTACTGCGTTAAATTCTTTGTACATGCAAATTCTGTCTCAATTAATTCCGCGCGGTGGAGTAAAAAAATGCATAAATGGACGGACCAATTAAATCTGCGCTAATTTTTACCCGAACAGTGGAAAAAAATTCATGCGGAAATACAGTGAGAATTGTTCTCGAAAAAAAGAGGAGAGGATATACTCCGGGGAGTTACCGCGTTGCTAAATGGAGCGATAAAAAGTGGCCAACGATGTCGATGGCGTGAGTACACGCGTAAACACGTAACAGCTTTGAGAATAGGGCAGCGGAAGAAGAAAGGGGTCGATTAATAGAAAGACAGAATGCAAGTTGCACTCAACAATAGACAGGTCGTTCTCTCACAGTTGCAGGTTGTTTTATACAGACACTGATATAGGTTACC